GTTCTCAAAGTGGTATTTTCCTCTTCCTTTCTTCTCCATTCTAAAAGCAATCCCCTGGCCTTTTCATAATCGTCCTTGAAATTAAAATCTAGTTTCTGGAGCTCTGTTGGTAGAAGCTTTAGTTTTCTTCCCAGATTTTGCCAGCACGATGCCACAACTTTCAGACAACCTGAGATTCCCTCGGATTCCCTGGATTGACAACATGGCGCAATCTATTTTCGATATGCTATTGCAGGTTTCGAATTCTAAAGCAAAGTTACGACAAGTCAAGACTCACCAGTCATGTCAGACCTCGTTAAGCAAAAGAGGACAAACAACTCTTGCAAACCAAAGAATATCCAAAATGTTAGGTACCGTTATTAAAACACTACATAGTATTAGTGATCTAGACTTAAACGAGCTTCTTGAAAGGCTTTTAGATTTGATTTGGTCATGGACATCGTGCTATAATCTTAGAGGTACTAATATTCTTAATTTTTAATGAAAGTACATGGCTACTTTATGGAACTCTCTACCACAAAGTCTGCGAACAATCACCAACTACAATTCCTTTAAAAACCAAAATTATTTAAATCAATCTCACTGGCCTGTAATAGTTAAATATTATCGGTATTATATTAATATTCAGACGTTTTCTCGCCATTTATAACATTTGTGTACATTTGTGTATTCCTATAACTTCTTATTTTCAGTGACATTTAGAACACGTATTTTAATCGTCTCAACTATATTTATTTATTTATCTATTTATTGAAATAAATATCTATTTAATTTGTGAGCTTACCTGTAATATGGCAATTTAACTAAGTTCTCATGCTATTGTGCTTAAGCAGGAGTTGGTGGTACCAAAAATGAAAAAAGTGGGCGCGTCAAACGAATGAGATTTTTAATACAAACCAAGAGTGCTTTGATACTATACAGACAGACTGTACATGATTTGCTAAGCTTATTACATACTTACTGAGATCACTCAGTTCTTTTTTGATGATAATTTACTATACAATCTTACCAATTTATTTCCTTGCCGATAGAAATGATGCAACGCTACCGACAGCGAGTGACCAATTTCAAAATACCTCTCAACTCTTGAAACAAGGAATCTTAAACTTGAAGGCTGAATCATATTCTTCTTTATCTTTTCTCCGAACAGAACGAGTGAAGTTTTAAATACACTTGTTAAATTTCCTCGTTCTTTTCGTCCCAAAATTATTTGAACAGTTTTGAATCTCGCCTCAATTTTATTCTCTTTTGTGTTTTTGTTCTGCCTACATCCTATTCCACATAATCCTCCACAGAAGGTTGAATAAGTGACTACTCATTCCTATCTCATCTTTTTGAAGTAATTAAAAGTTTTTTAAAAGAATGACGGATTTCACCGCGTGGCTAGAACAAAATTTACCTTTCTAATCATCTTTAATCCGCAAGGTATCGATAAACGCT